GCTGGCCGCAAAGACATCTGAAGCTTTTTTGGCAATTTTAATTTCTACTATATTTATCATTTTACTACAGTAAAATATTATTACTCTACACTTATTATAATTATTGCAACCATACGATTGGCACTTTATTTTTCACTATTTCTTGCTTATTGATGCTCGTGTAAACGTATCACAAAACAAAAGTGGTGGCGCCAAGATTTGGCCGACGGCAGAGGAGGGGCTATCTCCCAGAATCTCTGGATGGGGTCCAGAGGAAGAATTCCCCGGAATGTCTGACAATTCAGAGATTCTGAATTGTGATTGAATTGAATATGCTTTTGTTTTCTCTTTAACGAATTGTGGTAAGTTCTCAGTCGGGGTTCTGAAGAAGTTGAAAATGATTTTTTTCCCCTAACAAATTTTGTTATGTTCTCCGTCGGTGGAGCTCTCTCTGACCGGTGTCCTACCACCGCATCTGGCACAACCACTGAATTTCAGAGATTGTTGGGAATTGGCAGTTTTAAGTAGCTCGATGAATGGTAAAATGCGAAGTTCAAAATAGTCCTCGAATAGTTGCATAGGCCTAATAATAAGCAGGCTTTACAGTTTTGAATTTAAAAGAATAAAGCATAGTGTTATCCATTAGGTTGTTTTCATAGGCTGGAATTTTTATGGAGGGGGGGGGGCGCTTACGAGCAAAGTGAGCGTTTGTGTGGTGCATATTTAAGGCCAAGGTGCCCCGACAAAATAGCATTTAAGGCCGTATTTAGATTGCTGAAACCAATAATTTATGAATATTCTATTTAAATTCCCATTCATTTGGGTGTTGTTTACATGAAATGTATCGTTTTATGGCCATTACACTGTATGCTTACATTATATCGTATAGCTTTTTGTTCAATGGATCAATCTGCAGTCACTAAACTGATTAATTTCCAACAAATTTCATACCAGAATTATTAATAATCCTGTTAGAATAGCCGGCAAATGAAATGAAATCATAAATAGTATAAAGTATAAACATAGTGGACCTACCTTCATGGTCATATCTGAACTATAAGACTACCGATATTGGGCGTTAGGTTTTATTTCTTTTTTATTTTAAATTTATTTCTAGATCTGAGTGGGTTTACCAATACTTAAAAATTATAACAAATAATAATCAATATTTATATACCGCCTCATGTTACCAACCTTAACAACAATGTAATAATAAAAATAAAGTTAAAAACAAAATAAAATAAGCAGAAATGTAGGATTCATGTGTTCTCACCCCTCAACCACCGATCTCAAAGTAACATCGTTGTCTCAATGAGGCAATTTAAAATGGCCCAGTGTTGCATTTTAGTATTCACTTTATTGAACAGTTTTTATTTATTGACAGTTTTCATGACAAAAATTAGTTGATCCAATGGTGGGTCGCCAAGATGCTGAGATAAAGAGTTATGAAAGACTTGAATACCAGGGTACTAAAATAACTCAACTCAATCAGTGCCTAGCTTTGCTTTTCTTACATTCAACCTGCACTTTATTATTTTTGTTGCATTATGGCTGCCTACCCCAATTCGAACTTGCTTTCTTCAAACGCATTGTGCTTTATTTGCTTATTTCTTTTTCACGATTCCTTATTACTCTTTTTGAAACCAACAGTTCCTTCTTCTCTCTGCAATTTGGAAAATTGCATACTGTAAATTCTTGATCTTACTTTATTCATCCCTCCCTCTTTGTTCCAAACTGTCTTCTTCACTGAATCTATATTTTCCTTCCCGGTGGATTTTGTCTTCACTTCTCCATATCTCTTAATTTCGGTACAAGCATTTCATATACCATCAAGGCCAACAAAAAAAAATCTTGTGATGTCCACGTTTTGGGAAAATCCAAAAAATGGGCAGTAGAAAAAGGTTTTTTTTTCCAATAATGTGTTTATGCCAAAAAAGTAGAAAATACACAGAAATAAAACAAAGACCATTGTAACTTATATTGAAAAGCAGAAGGGTTCCAACATATTTTTCGTTGTCGTAAAAAAAATACCTAAAAAAATAAAATGCCGACCCTCAATTTCGAATATTTTAGGTCGGTCGGGCGTGGCCAACAAAATAATTGTGTTTATTGGGCCTAAACCGGACAGACACTACCACAACCCCATGATGCATTATGTTGGGGGTCATTTAGATGTTAGCAGAGTTTCAACACTCATAGATGTATAGTTTGATTAGTGAGTGTTATGCGTCTGGACCTGAATGCGTAATGTCCCTGCCCATTAATTCATACAGTAGTTTGAATAGTGAGGGGTATGCGGATCACTAGGAGTGGAGTAACGCCTTACTTAAGACATGGCCGGCGGAAGCGGGGGGCCGGGGGGCCCGCCCCCCCCCCCACTTTTTGGCGAAATATATAATGTCTGGAGATTTTTGTATGACTGCTTAGAAAATTTACCTTACCGTTTTCATGAGGGGGAAAACCTTGAATTTTGAAGAACAAAGTAATTAGACACCTAGCTCAAAAGTCGAGAAAGGTCATTTCCCGCCATCTAAAAATCAAAATTTTCCCGGGGGAGAACCCCCGACCCCCTATCTTTTTGGGATTTATCGATTCATGAAAAAAAAAAAGCGTATTCAACTAC